GAATTTAACTATCACTTTACTAATTGGCTAATGTCATGGCACCTGAATCCAAACACGATTAACTTTCTTTCGCTTGACTAGTCACACTTGCCAATACTTGACAAACAAAAGACTCTCCTCGTCTACCATCACTTTCACTGTCATCCTGCTGCTGATACTTATTTTTCTTATTGGGACAGTCTCTCTTCCAATGTCCCAATTGATGACACTTATTATGTAGTTTTAAACCTTGCGAATTAAAATTTTGGTTGTTATGAAATTCATCATAGGTGGCACCTCCAGTTTATCCTCTGTTTTTCCTCTTTGTGCTCCTCTACCACGAAAACCGAATAGATTGGTTGCCAAGACACTTTCACTGAAGAGAGCATGTTTATTTATCCTAGATTCTTCGATAACCAGCCTTGACATCAAATTTTCCATCGTTCTGTCACGTCGATACTAAGAGAACGCACGGGACGGGACATGGTAGCTAATCAGGTGTCACGAGAACGCACGTGACAGACTATGGTAACTAATTGGGTATCGGTAATTTAACTTCCTATCAACCAATTGTCAACTTTCCTAGGAAGATTTGTAAATCTATCTAGCGAGATGGATTAGGCTAAGCACGTTCTCCATATTAATTCCGCGAATATTACTCGCCGAATATTAATTTGGCAAAAAGAAAGGGAAGGGGCATGTCAGCCTATGGTATAAAAAAGGCTGGATCAGAATCCGCGAATAGGCAGTAGTAGTTCAGTAATTCTATAGTATAGTACTATTGTATTATTTCTAAGTTTCGCTACACGGTTACTCAAAACCGGGATTGTAATCTGTTAAGCATAATAAACTTGTCTTTTCAAACAACAAATCTTAATCAAGTGCAAACACCTGAGACTCTTTCATAAAATCTCCTCTGAAGCCCGGTCCTAACAAGGTAAGAAACTTAGTTATCCACCTAAACACACCACATATAATAAAAGCGTTATGCCTTTAACCAACCTCGGCTTACCTCCTGACTAAGATTCAACCTTTACCACCGCGACAGTATTTTAAACATTATTGCGTCTAGCCATAACACCTCCTCGTCTAGGCATAACAGTTCTTTCTCCTTCAGCAGTAGATTCTCAAGCCGTAAGGAAGTTATTATAACAGTCTAGAACTTTTGTCTTAAATATTTCATCTGAAATGTTTTCATCAACCATTCTCAATCTGTACTTCAAATGTTCTAATTTAGATATGAATATGTCAATATTATCATCAGGGTTCTTGGTAATAATGAATCATTCATTTTAAAGCATATGATTTGTTGAGTATGATTGTTTTTCATACACGTCACATAGCGCATCCCATATGTCGTTCGATGTTTCACAATGCATAATATGCAGCGTAGGCTGTTTTCCCATTATAGTTGCAATATTATTTCGGCATTCGCATTTAACGGGAGCCATTTTGGAATGTTCTTGGCGTATTCGGTTCTCACTTCTGTGGACGCTACAGATACTGGCGTAACAGATTTTATTTAAGAGCTTTCGACTATCTCATACGTCCTGGCCAACCTCAGGATGACCTTACTTGGAACTTCCACACATTCCGATTGTTTTTATTTTACAATTTCGCAATTCCACTCAATTCGCTATCCATGATTGCAATATTTATTCGATATCCATGATTGCAATATTTATTCTTTTGTTCTTTTAATGATTTTATTTTCACCTTCTCTTACGAGTGATCATAGAGAGGATGCAAATTTACCTTTTGTCCCAATTTTACTTAAATATTGATCAAACGGTCTCTAGGTTCCTAACCTGTTAACTATTATTAGAATTGAATAAATAAACAAGTTAAGATTAACGAGATAAAAGTGGGTTTATTCAAGACAATAAAATAGTAGAGTTGGCATGGTCAGTCATATTAACTAATTTTGCAACTACAAATTATAATTATAATTAAATTATAATTTCACACGCACATACACATTTCACGTTGCTAACGCTATCTAGTACTACATAATAAAACTATATCTTACAAGTGATACCAAAATATAATACTCTAAATACATTAAAATTATTTCTAACAAGAATCAATTGTTTCCTGCGAAATTTCCTTGGCTTGGCATGCGTCGAGACGTGTAATAATCCGCGTTTAAACTTGCTTTTCTCTTTGACTCTCTCACCCGTCGTTATTAAAAAGTACGGCCGCTTTGATGCCTGTATTACTGCGTTGCATAAAACTTTCAGCCAAATCTTTATTGTCTGTGTTATAACTGACAAGTGAAATAATGATCATAATAATAATCATAATAACGTTCTATCATATCAAGATATTTTATCATATTAACGATATGATATATATTTTATAATACCATTATCCATCGAGAGACGAACCTTCTTTAACAGCGATAAATAATCTTTCATTTAGCCAATTTTTACTATATATATAATATATATGAATTGTAATGATATAATTTTTTCCCAACTGTATGAAAATTTTTTAAAAATTATCGATTTGAATGTAATTAAAAATTTTATTCTTTTTTATGCATTGAAAAATATTGAAAAGTGTAAAATAAATTCTTATTGATCACCTGGATATGTTTTAAAAATTATTCAACCAATTTGTGTCTAATCATTTAAATGATATTCAATTGTATATGCTATAGAAAAATATTAAAATTTATTAAATAATATTATATAAGAAGTTATTGGATAACTATTCTTCAAAATTAATTTTTAGATATAAAAAAAATCTAATTGCTAGATGTCAATAAATATAATATTGGAAATTTCATTCATCTATTTAAAACTATTGAACCTTATTTGGATAAATTCAAACTTCTATTTGGATATTCAACTGTATATGCTCTAGAAAAGTATTAAAGTTTATTGAATAGCATTGGACTAAAAGTGATTAGATGGCTAGTATTTGAAATTATATTCAAAATTAGTGAAAATTAGTGAAATCAGTAACATATTTTCAGATTAAATGTTATTATACTTTTAATTTATTGAAAGTAATTGAAGTTTTATTCTCATGTTTATTGAAAATCATTAAATTATTAAGAATGATTCAATTTTATGGAATTCTAATAAATTTAAATTCATAATTTTCAAATGTTATTTTCACATAGAACCTGTGAACATAGATGGTTGTAATTTCAGAATTGGTTTTTTACAAATTTGATTATCTAATACCTGAAATGCATCCACTTCAGTGAAAACATTCTTTTAACATATATTAGTCCCTTAAGTTCGTTTTTATGGAAAAAAATTAAAAGAGAATTTGTAATCTCTATTGTGACTATAAGTGTCTATTCTAAATATTAACAGTTGACTGATTTAATTTTTGTACATAGAAAATAATACATTGTCTTGTGAATACAATCAGAATTTCCATTTATATGCCCTAACAATCGTTGACAGTAACAAAAAAATTAACGTAAAAATTATCTTTAGTTATTTGCAGCTTACTTCACCTTATTTTCAATTTTTACATGAATAATGAAAAAGCTTAAAAAGAATATTTATATACACACTTTCAATATAGTACAGTTTGTTTGTTTGTAGTGTATAAATTTGACAAAAATATGATTATTTCTTACTACCTCACTGTCTATTTTGACAAACCTAAAATGAATCAGATTTTGAATGTTTTTACAAAAATGAAGCCTTGTTTTAAATAAACAGTTATAACGCATTTTCAAATGACATGAAATAAATAATTTGGTTGATTGGAAATTGTCTGGAAATTATCTAAAAATTGTCAAAAACTTAAAAAATAAACCATTCTATTCATGAAATAATTTCATTCCAGAATGAACATGAGAACTTCAATTTAAAGAAGGTACATATTAACATTTATATTTATAGTTCCTGCTAAGTTCTGATGTCTTTGAGCACCTATTTTTAGTTGAACAATTAGGAGTTTTTCATGCTGCTTCAGTAAAGAAATTTTGAACATAAATCGATAAATACAAATTTCATATATTAATAAAATTGAAGTGATCATTGCTTTAGTTTTGAATTGAAAAATAGTGTAATTATTAGGTTACTCATGATTTTTACAAAATATTAAAATTTTTCTCTTATTAGCATTAGAAAAAACAAAAATTTTTTATTTAGAATATTCTAAATGATACTTTTAATATAAATAATATTTAGATTTTCTTTATAAATTATTTAATATGGTTTTTTTAATAATACGTTGAAAATCATCATTCTTGTTGAATCTTCTTATTATCCATGTAGATATTATTATAGATTATAAAAAAATATTATGGCTCTTAAAGGAAAAGATATAAATAATTTATAAAATGATTTGGAATTGTTTTTTTATTATTTAATTATTCAATTTAGTCGACATATCATATTAATATATTATTTAAACAAATAAAATCAAAATAAAAAAGAACATTTTGTTTAAAACCAACTCAATAGTAATAGTATGTATTTAGTTGTTGGTAAAAAAATATTTTTATTTAGAGTACTACATATTAATAAATAAGAAAAATTTTATTTGGTGTGTGCTACCATTATCTTCAGACTCTTTAACCACGTAACTTACAGAATTTTAAATATACTTAAATACAATGAGAAAACTTAATAATAAATATATTACTGGCCGATATTTTTTGAATTAGTATCTTAATACATATTATGTCATTAACATTTTACACCTGAGTATTAGAACATTATTATGGTAGTTAGACAATTTTTAATATTTAATTAAAATTCAAAATGTATAAATTACTAAAAATCAACAACAATTAAAAAAAAACATGAAATTTATTATAATATTTTCCGTTTATAATACAAGTCCATAGTTTTACTTATTCTAAAAGAAACAACTAAAATTTGGATTTGAATGAGCAGTGACTGTATGAAAGTTGATGTACTGATTGCACTTATTTGAGGTTAGTAACTCCAAATTAACTTTCAACAATGAAATGAAATCGTAAACCACTGAATATTTTTTCAAAAATTCTTTGACTTTGTAAGTAACTTCATTTCATAATATTTTACCTTTTCTTAATTTCATTTTTGTAAGGTTTTAAATAAGGATCTCTATCCAATAAACTTTTAAGATTAGGAATTTGAATGTCTGCTGGATCCATACTAGAATACTTTCCACCCATTTCAGGTTATTTAATAATTATAAGTATTTTGTCTAAAATAACAAATCCCCATGAACAGCAAAAAATTAATAACAATTTTCTTCCGTTTATTATAGAAAATGTCACTTGAAGGTGACTCCAAAAACTCAGATTCAATTAATTAATATATTAGCAAAGATTAGGAGGTACCGCATTCTTCAATGCTTTACCAACATTATCCCATGCCACGTTTGAACCGTTGATATGAGTGCCTCGTGGTGGCAAAGTTGTTGAAGCTGAACTGACATCAGCGATAAGCATTCGGTCACCCATCCCAAACTTCTTTTTCTCCTATTCATAACGCATCTAGGTGTGTTGTACACTTGTGGCTGTTTTATTATTATACCGTGTCCGAATTCCGCGTTTTAAATTAGTTTTGTTTAAAAGAAGGAAAATATGAAAATTCTCAATTGTACAATATATAGCTATTGTTTGGTCATCGGCATATTAAATTGATGTTAGCCTGGGGAAGTAGTGATTATATATTTTCAAGTACAATTGATATGTAGTCTAGTAGTAAGAGTAAAAGTCCAAAGAAAGAGGTATTGTAAAAAATATAATTTATATTCTCATACTATTTTTTGAAGAATTGGAAAAAACGTAAACATATCATAAATTGTCTAATCTTAATTAGTTTATTCTTATTTAAGCTCTGTAAATTCATATAGGTCATACGGTAAATTTAGCAAATTATAATTCTTGTTTGAAACATTTTCTTTATTATAGCTAGAACAGCTAACAATAACCCCCTTTTTAATAGAGGTAAATACAGTATTTTTTGTACTGTTTTACTACATGTAATATAGTAAATCAGCTCGAGTGATTTAAATATCGCACTGATAACGAGAAAATACCAAAATTAAATTGACGTGTTTCCAGATTAAAAACAAATATATTTAAGGGGTGTTTCACCCCCTAGAAACCACCCCCGTCAAACTATCAGCAGGTTAATCCACCTAACCTTGGGATCAAAAAAGTTTAGTCGTTTGTTATTTCCTGAAATAATTTAATCCTACGCCTAAGCGAGCTACCTCAACTAACCAACCTGCCTCTAACCCACCAAACCCCCATAAACCACCCTTACCCAACCAAATGTAGGCTAATAGAACTAACTTCGGGAGAATTGAGTTTATCAGTTGCTTTTTCTTAAAATAATTGATTTCTACACCGTACGTGGGGTATCCCATTTTTATTGATAAAATATATATGTAGCTCAAATATAATTTATGACAAATAAAAATATGTTTAATACATTTTATTTTAATAGTATTTATTTTAATAGTAAAACGGCGAGAAATATTTCTTAAAAATAAACACGAGAATAACATGAGATCTAATTATCATTTACAGATCTATACATATATATTTATATTCGTATGTAGATACATAAATATATTTACGTAAGAGCCATCGTACGCGATACTACATATATTTTGATTTTTCATAATAATTTTCATATTTTTCTTTTTTTATTTATTGGTAAATTAAAATGTATCATTCAACGAATTCCTTACAGAAATGATATTCATCGAAAAAGTGTTTGAAACATAATGATCTTTTACATCAACCACACCGTATTATAGCAACATTTTTACATGCTTCTACTTCGCAATGTATATTGCAAGAATCTCCAAAACTAAAATCAACAGGGTTATCTGTTTTAGCTGGTTTATCAGCAATGTAGCTACTTTAATACCAAGCGTATTTAAAAATATGAGGCCTGTAATGGTTCGGTCGGTAGGGCAACGGACTCGCACACGGTAGGCCCGGATTCGATTCCCAGTCCCTGCTCATTGATACAAGCACCACTAAAAAAAGTTTCATGTGCTTTGTTCTCAAACACATTGCAAGCCTTCGTCGCTGATTAGCACTGGTGGAGCATAAATAGAGCGACGTTAAATAAAAAAAAAAAAAAAATTTTTAAATATTTGTATATCTTGGCGAAGAAAGCTGGTTATGGACAAGAGACAGCATTTTTATGATGTTATTATTTTAAGAAAAAGCAACTGATAAACTCAATTCTCCCAAAGTTAGGTCTATTAGCCTACATTTGGTTGGGTAAGGGTGGTTTATGGGGGTTTGGTGGGTTAGAGGCAGGTTGGTTAGTTGAGGTAGCTCGCTCAGGCGTAGGATTAAATTATTTCAGGAAATAACAAACGACTTAACTCGTATTTCCCAGGGTTAGGAGGTTTAGTCCGCATGTGGTTCGGTAAGGGTGGTTTATTAAGGTGGCGGTTAGATAGGTTAGGGGTAGCTGGATAAGAGGTATGTTATACAGCTGGGATAACACGCGTATGGTGTAAAATTTAATTATTTCAAGAAATAACAAACGACTAAACTTGCTTTTCACAGGATTAGGTAGTTTAGCCTGCATGTGGTTCGGTAAGGGTGGTTTATGGGGATTTGGTGGGTTAGAGGCAGGTTGGTTAGTTGAGGTAGCTCGCTCATGCATAGGATTAAATTATTTCAAGAAATAACAAACGACTAAACTTGTTTATCCCAGGGTTTGGTGGATTCCCTATTAAACAAATCCAGCTGGAAATCCAGAATGGATTTCTACATAGCTAGATATCCATGTGGATATACATGGATTCCATGTGGATTTGAGTTGGATTTTCAATATGGATTTCCATCTGACATCCAGGTAGATTTCTGGCCAAATCCAGGTGGATTTCTTGACAAACCCAGGTGGGTTTCTCGACGAATCCAGCCGGTTTCCAGAGTGAATCGAGATGAATTTCTGGCCAAATCCAGGTGGATTTCTCGACGAATCCAGATGGATGACTTGGCAAATCCTTGGGGATTTCTGACCAAATCCAGGTGGATTTCTTGACAAACCCAGGTGGATTTCTCGACGAATCCAGCCGGTTTCCAGAGCGAAACGAGATGAATTTCTGGCCAAATCCAGGTGGATTTCTCGACGAATCCAGATGGATGACTTGACAAATCCTTGGGGATTTCTGACCAAATCCAGGTGGTTTTATTGGTCATTTAGGTGGATTTGTGGGCCAATCCAGGTGGATTTTTAGGTTTATCGAAATGGATTTCACCGGAAATCCAGGTGGATTTCTTAGCCAATCTCGGTGGATATTTAAGTCAATTCCGGTGGATTTTTGAGTCAATCCAGGTAGATATGTTGTCCAGTCCAGGTGGAGTTTATGGAAAATCCTAGAGGATTGAAATGATTTTACGAAAATCTCGGTGATTTTTTTATTGAATTCAGATGGACTTTTTCATGAAATAAAAAGGATTTGATGGTAAATTCTAGTGGATTTTTTGGTCAATTCAGGTAGATTTTTCTTATCATAGTCAGGTTGATTTCATAGAAATTATATAGACTTCTAATTCTTTTAGAATGTAGTCGTTTTAGATACATGGAAACTTAACATAATTTGTTTTTTTATATAGTAATTTGAAATTATAAAAAAAAATAATCTTGAAATAAATATTAGTTTAATGTTGGAAAGTTTCACTTATATACATGAAAACTAAACATAATTCGTTTGTTATATCGTAATTTGAAATTATTATAAAAAACTAATAATAAATAAATATCAGCTTAATTTTGGAAAATGTCTGTTTCATAAAACATTTTAAACTAATATTTTATATTCTAATTAAATATTTAATTTTTTCTTTTGATTCTTAATGCAAGTGTTAATTTCTTCAGTTATGATGGCATTTTTTTTTGCCACAATCTTCTTCGCTTCATCTGATATTACTTTTGAGACTTTGTTCAGATAAGTTTTCAAACACTCTGAAATAAAATAGTGATTAATTAGACAACTTTTCATAATTCACCATTTTATGAAAAAAGGCACGTACTTATAATATTTCATTGAAATGTTTCTGCAAGGTTGCTGAAATATTCCTCAAAACTTCTTTGATAGCTTTCCTGAAATCTTTCGTGCAATTTTTCTGCAAGTTTCTAGCAAGTTTCTAGGTTGCACCGCATTATTTTTAAACGTGAAGAATGATATTTCATTGAAATGTTTCTGCAAGGTTTCTAAAATATTCCCTAAAACTTCCTTGAAAGCTTTCTTGAAATATTTCGTGCAATGTTCCTGCAAGTTTCCAGCAAGGTTGCTGAAATATTCCTTAAAACTTCTTTGATAGCTTTCCTGAAATCTTTCGTGCAATTTTTCTGCAAGTTTCTAGCAAGGTTGCACCGCATTATTTTTAAACGTGAAGAATAATATTTCATTGAAATGTTTTTGCAAGGTTGCTGAAATATTCCTCAAAACTTCTTTGATAGCTTTCCAGAAATCTTTCGTTCAATGTTTCTGCAAGTTTCTAGCAAGGTTGCGCTGCATTATTTTTAAACGTGAAGAATAATATTTCATTGAAATGTTTCTGCAAGGTTTCTGAAATATTTGACGAAATATTTTACTGAATTATTTTAAATAACTTTCCGAAACTTTCCTGCGATATTTTCACAAGTTTTTTTGCAATATTTCATGGAACATTTCCCTGAAATATTTCGTGCTGTGTGGGTCGGGTTGCCTCACTCTTCAAAGAAGCACCTAGTCCATCACAGATGCATTTACCATGAGACGTTGCATAACAGTGCCATTCCGCATCAATTTGAAAATCAGTCTTGTGATGGGCAAGGTGCATCATTTGAGTTCTATTCTTAAAATGTTGCTTGGCACCATTAGATATATAATAAATTTTTGTACTTTTTGGACACAACATTTTAATTATCGGTATCACTTTCTGCTGCATTAAATAAACTGCTGTTGCATCATGGGTTTTGCAATCTGATAGTAAAATCATGTTGTGACCCTGCTATAAAAGTTCCATTGAAAACCATTGAAGAATTTCTGAATGGTTTTCAATCTTCGATCTGAACACTCCAAATGACCATTGAATATGATTCCTCATCCAACAAGAAATGTCAAGATATTAAATACTATTGGTTCCAATAATATAGATTACTATTGATTCCTAATCGAGATTAATCATTATCAATAGAAAAATATACTATTAAAGTAATGGTTTTCAATAGGATTCAATGAAATTTCTCATGTATATTACCCAATCGATTTCAATGGTAAAATTCGTGGTCAAATCGAAGATTTGAAACCATTCGAATGCGATAATCAATTTGATTGAATTGATATCAATGGTT